AATGAGGAAGGAAAAAAAAAACTTTTAAAAGATTTATAAAAGACTGTAAATTTTTCAATTCATTAAAAAGAAAAAAAACTATTAGAGACTTGCATTTTTAAGATAGAATTCTCATCATTAAAACAACAATAAAAATGTTGAACAAGGCTGGAGGTGTAGTTCAGTGGTGGAGCACTTGCCTAGCATGCTCAAAGCCCTGGGACTGATCCCCAGCAATACAAATAAACAAAAAGAAACACACACACACACACACACACACACACACTTGCACCAAATGAACACAAAATCTCACACTAAAGTCCTATGTGCCTCAGCTCCTGTTATTTGATACATTATGTCTTACTTTCAACGCAAAATTACAATGTTATATATATTTTGGAGGGGATATGGGGGCCTAACTCAGGGGCATTCTATATTAAACTTCTGCAATATTATCTGAAAAAACAGCAATCATCAGAGAATGATCGTTAGAATTCAGATATGGTAGAAATTTTGGAATTCTCAGACAAAATGGAAAAAGTAAGGGCTGGGGTTGTAGCTCAGTGGTACAACATTTGCCTAGAATGGGTGAGGCCCTGTATTTGATCCTCAGCACCACATAAATAAATAAAATAAAGGTATTGTGTCCATCTACAAATATATATATATTTTTTTAAATAGAAAAAGGAAATAACATAAAGAACAGACAGGTAATTTAGGCAGAGAGATGAAAACAAAATGTCAGGAAAAATTTGTAACAGAAATGAAGAGTGTCTTTCATGGACATATTTACAAATTGGACATGGTTAGGAAACAAATCGTTGAGGTTAAAAATATGTCAGTGGACATTTTCCTAACTGAAATGAAAGAGAAAGAGAGAATTAAAAAAAATATCCAAGAACCATGTGACAATTTTGAAAATTTGTAACATACGTGTAATTTGAATACCCAGAAGAGAAGAAAGTGGGAACAAGCAGAAAAGATGTTTGAATCAGTAGTGGCCAGGATTTTCCATCATTAATTATTGACACAAAACACAAATCCTAGAAGCTTCAGAGAACACATTATAAACATAACGGTAAGCATAATGAATACCAAAAAAAAAAAAGAAAGAAAGAAAGAAAGAAAAGAAAAAAGTCCCTAGACATATCACATTCAAATTGCAGAAAGCCAAAAACAAAGACAAAATTTTGAAAGCAGTAAAGAAAAGAAAAGAAAAAGCTTTACCTATGAAGAAATAAGAATAAAAATTTAAATTGGACTTCTCATCAGAAACCAGGCAAGCTATAAGATAGTGGAAGAAAATACTTAAACATTCAAAGAAAAAGACCACAAATCTAGAATTCTGTACCTCATGAAATTATCCTTCAAAAATAAGAATTAAAGAC